AGCTATGCGGGTGCTCTTGTGCGTGGAGAGCCGAGAACACCAGTGTCCCCTGTCCATGGGGGCAGGAGGCGACAAGCTCTGAAGCCGTCTCCATCCGAAGACCTATGGAAGTAGGAACACAGGGTCACGCAGTCAGGTGAAGGGGATCCAAGCTAAGGCGTGATTTTTGCAGGAATAGCGTTAGCAGTCATTGACGTGAGAGCCGAGAGGAATGGAATAATTTTAAATAAATAAGTTCCTTTTAGTCTTACTGACATGCACTAATCTCCAAACAGTCAGGACAGTATATACATAATAAAAAGTTAAATTCATGTGTTCATAATACAGTCCCAGTGAATAAAGTCTAGGACCCTATCAGAATGAAAGTCCACATCATGTGGGGCGTCTTGAGCCTTGCTTTAAAGAAATGGGAGGTCAGAGGCCAGAACTATAAACCATGATGTCCCCAAGCTGTGAGGCTCCTTCCTCTTGGAGCATTTTCCGCTGTTGGTGACTCAGTCTCCTCTCAGGGCCTCTTCTGGATGAAACACGCCCTGTGGTACAATGGGATTTGAAGGATGAATATTCGTACAACAGGACCATATTATGAACCCCAAAGTACTACAAAGATTACCTGTTGCCATCATAATGGCACAGCCAGCCAGCTGTAGGCCAGTCCTTCCGGCTTCCCTAAATATAGCAGATACTTGACCTACATCAACTGGCTACTAACTTAGCCTTCTAACTGGCACTTGTACCAAAAGAGCTGCATACACCATGCCACTCTGTTTCCTCCTTTTTGAAACCATGCTTGCTAATCCATGCTGTGTTTGTTGTGAACATGGAGGTGGGGTTTTCCGAGGCCCTGCTTCCTCTTCCTGAAGTGAACACTAGAAGATTCTGCTGTGGTGAGTGTTACCAGGGACAGTGGAAGATGCCCAGAACATACATTGTTGTGAGCTGTCAAGTCACTTGCGACTCATAGTGACCCTACGTCCAACAGCTCTGGACGCTGCTCTATCCTGTGTCAACCTTAATGTCTCTGACACTCCTACCCCCATTACCCCAGTCACTAAATCAATCTACCTCATCAATGGTCTTCCTCTCTTGTGCTGTCCCTCCACCCTCCCAAGCATGACTGGTCCCTCCTTGCAACATGTCCAAAGTATGTCAGACAAAGCCTCAGAATCCTTGCCTCCAAGGAGCATCCTGGGCTTCACCCTCTCCAAGATAAACCTGTTTTTCCTCCTAGCTGTCCATGATTCAGTACTCTTCTCCAATACTACAGCTCAAAGGCATCAATTCTCCTTCTGTCATCCCTTGTCATTGTCTAGCTTTCTGACACATAGCAAGTGATTGCGAAGACTGTGCCCTGATCAGGTGCACCTCAGTCTCCAGACTGACATCGTTGCTCTCTAGGTCATATAGCCCTGGTCTGTCCTCTTGCTGTACATGGTTGCTGTGAAGCTGAACATGGTGACACTGATGTGTCAAATGCAATAAGGGTCATGCTGGACAGTGTTTGGTGGAGCTCGATTAAAACAAACTTGGAAGCAGGAGTGGCATCCACTTCTGAAAGAGCTTGCCTTCGGAAACCCTTTGAACAGGGAGAAAGGATGAAAGTTATACAAGTGTCCAGGTCTTTCATTCATAGGGTCACTATGAGTTGCCTACAACTTGATGGCTCTTAACAACAACATACTTACTTAAATACAATACATCCTAATAATTTGTGCTTAAACACCCTTTCTGGTATTTTGTGCTTTGTCCTCGTGATTTGGATTTAAAATATTGCTCTCAATACTCTGAGCTTAAAACGCAACACTACCTAATTATTTGCACTTAAAAACACAGTACTTCTTGTGTTTGAATTGAAATAAATGGTAATGGAAAGCTGAAAAAAGTTAGGACAAAAAATGGGATCTAAAAGAATAAAATGAATAATGGCTGGGTAGAAACCTGTATCCTTAAACGTGCATGTTGGAAAAGGAGATTGGAGGCCACCCGAGGATGAACACCCTTCCTCTCTAACTTCTCTCACCAGACGTTTCGGGATCTCTGTGGCGTGAAGGCGGAGGGTCTGCGGGAGACGCTGGTCCCACACTGAAACATCTGTGTGGCCCAGCTGCAGCTGCAGACGCGCACTGAGGAGACTGTCCTAAGAGCAGGACCCGACCATCCATTCCTGCCCAAGACAGTCAGGCCCAAGACCAGGCGGCCACAGACCTGAGAGGCGCTCGTCACGCCGCTGGAAAGCCACAGAGCAATGTTTGGGCACGAAGGTACGCTGGCCACGAGCAGGCCCTGCCCTGCCCTGGGAGGTCACGGTGGTGCTTAGGGCAGGAGAAGGCAGGTAGGCACTTTGGGGACCAAGTGTCTTTGGGAGAGGAACCCCCAGGTGACATGACCTGTCCTCTTGGCCCAGGTGTGTGCCTGCCCAGTGGAGCAGGGTGCTGGGGACTCATGGGCTGGACAGCAGAGGCTCCCCAGTGGCTGCATGGAGGCCGCCCTTCCAGAGGGCTATTGGTGGGAGTTGACGCCATGGGACGAGTGGCTCTGGGGGTTTCTTGCAGGGTTGCGTGGAGGGACAGGGTGGCGCTGGGGGATGGAAACAGGCCAGTGCGAGGGGACGGTGAGTCATTGCCTCATCTCTGGCATCTCCTCAGAACGCGACATCCCCAGCGACGGGGACTTCAACTGGCTGAACGCCGATTCCCCACCACCCCCACCACCCCCACCATCCCCACCACCCCAGTCGGAGCAGTCCTGTGGTAAGCAGTCCTCACCCTGCTGTCTCCTGTCTGGGGGGAGTCCCAGCCTTCAGCCCCCAGAAGCCTCAATGCAGCCTCAGATCCAGGGGTGGTGTGCCTCCAGAGAGAGGGGAGATAGGTGTCTCCAGGGGAACGCACTGCCGGCGCTTTCTGCAGACAGCAGGCCCCAGGGCAGTGCCCTTTGTCCAGCTGCCTGTGGTCACTAATGTCCAGTCTGCTCATTGTTGTTGTTATGTGCCATCGAGTTGCTTGCGACTCAGCGACCCTATGTACAAGAGCTCTAAACACCATTCTATTCTGGTGCCAACCTAGCCATCTCAAATGCACTTATCCCACCACTCCAGTCACAGAATCAGCCCATCTCATCAAAGGTCTTCCTCTCCTGCGCCATCCCTCCACTCTGCCAAACATGATGCCCTCTCCAAGGACCAGTCCCTCCTTGCAGCATGCCCAAAGTATGTCAGACGAAGCTTCAGAATCCTTGACTCCAGGGAACATTCTAGCCTCACCTTCTCCAGGACAAACCTGTTTGTTCTCCTAGCAGTCCATGGTATATTCAACACTCTTCTCCAACACCATAGCTCAAAGGCATCAGTTCTCTTTCTATCACCCCTATTCATTGTCCAACTCTCTGATGCATAGCATCTAATTGCGAAGACTTCAGCCCGGATCAGGTGCACCTTAGTCTGCAGCCTGACATCATTGCTCTTCAGTACTCTTGAGAGGTCCCTCACAGCTGACTTTCCCAAGGCAATTCATCTCTTGATTTCCTGGCTGCTGGTACCAAGAGTGTTGATTGTGGAGCCAAGCAAACTAAAACTGTTAACTATCTCAATTTCTTCACCATCCATACTGATGCTGCCAATTGGTCCAGTGATGAGAATCTTTGCTTTCTTGATGTTGAGCTTCAATCCATATAGGAGGCTGCAGTCCTTGACCTTCTGCAGCAAGCGCTTCAGGTCCTCCTCAGTTTCAGCAAGCAAGGTTGTGTCATCTGCATAACGCAGGTTGTTGATGACTCTTCCACCAATCCTGATGGCACATTCCTCTTCGTATAGCCCAGCGTCTCAGATGATCTGTTCTGCATACGTATTGAAAAGGTATGGAAACAGAATACATCTATGACGAACCCCGTTCTTGATTTTCAACCATGTAGTGTCTCCTTGCTCTGTTCTGACAACTGCCTCTTGGTCCATGTATAGGTTTTGCATTAGCACAATCAAATGTTCTGGGATTCCCATTCTTCTCAGAGTCAGCCATAGCTTGTTGTGATCCACATAGTCAAAAGACTTTGCATAGTCAATGAAGCACAGATAGACATTCTTCTGGTATTTGCTTTCTGTCAAGATCCATCTAACATTATCTATAATATCCCTAGTACCACGACCTCTTCTAAATCCAGCCTGCACATCTGGCAGTTCTCTGTTGACATATTGTTCCAAACATTTTTGGATAATTTTCAGCAGAATCTTGCTTGCATGTGATATTAATGATATTGTTCGATAATTTCCGCACTCTGTTGGGTCATCTTTCTTTGGAATGGGAACAAATACTGATCTTTTCCAGTTAGTTGGCCAGCTGGCTGTTCTCCAGATTTCTTGGCACAACATAGTGAGCACATCCAGGGCAGTGCCTGTTTGTTGAAATATGTCAGTTGGTATGCTGTCAACTCCTGGAGCCTTGTTTTTTGCCAATTCCTTCAGGGCAATTTGAACTTCCTCCTTCATCACCATAGGCTCTTGATCATATGTCATTTCATGAAATTCTTCTGTCAGCCAATTCCTTCTGATACAGTGACTCTGTGTACTCCTTCCATCTTCTCTTGATGCTTCCTGAATCATTTAACATTCTACCCAAAGTATTCTTAAGGATTGCCACCCATGGCTTGAATTTGTTTTTCAGCTCCTTCAGCTTAAGAAATGCTGAACGAGTTCAGCCCTTTTGATTTTCTGACTCCAGCTCTTTGCACATTTCATTATAGTATCTTGCTTTGACATCCTGGGCTGCTTTTTGAAATTTTCTGTTCAGCTCTTTGATTTCTTGGTTTCTTCTTTTACCTTTGGCTTCTCAGTGCTCTAATGCAATATTCAGAGTCTCATGTGACATCAGTCTTGGTCTTTTCTTATTTTTCAGCCTTTGTAATGATCTTTTGCATTCTTCATGGACAATTTTCTTGATATCCTCCCAGAGCTTATTTGGACTACGCTCATTGGTGCTCAAGGCCTCAAACCTGTTTCTGAGATGGTTTTGAAATTCGAGTGGGATAGACTTAAGATTAAATTTTGGTTCCCGTGGACTTGATTCAATTTTCCTCAACTTCAGCTTGAACTTACATATGAGTAGTTGGTGTTCTGTCCCACAGTCAGCACCCAGCCTCTCCCGCGATGAGAACCCAGAAAATGCCCAGGACTCTCGCTTCAGTGTGATCTCTGGGACTGAGCTACTTTTTTTAAATGATGAAAAAGGTAGTGAAAAGCCAGCTGAAATTTACAGCGGGTGGCTCCCCTTTTGCACCCACCCCCACAGGAGGACTTCCAGTTACCTTTACCCAAGGATATTTTGTCCCCCGCGAGGGTCTTGCTTTTGGGAAGGGTGTGTGTTTTGATCTTTGGCCTGGCTAGATAGAGTCTGATGTCTCTTCTGAATATGGACTGGATGGACCAGCTAGCAAAGGTGCCCCAAGCCTGCCACTGAACTTTAAAGGCAGCTGTGCTCAGAGGCCATGAGCAGATGCAGTTGTTGGGTGGGGGCAGCAGGCCGAGGAAGTGGGGCGATGTTCCCTCCAGATGCTGGGCACACGTGCCGGGGACAAGGCCTCTGTGGTATGTCCATTGTTGACCGCTGTCTCATATCTGATGTTAGATGACCAGAACCAGGAGGACGAAAGCATAGAAATGGCATCCCATGACGAAAGGCTACCCGCGGAGTCTTTGAACAGTAAGTCATCTCTCAGAGTCTTTGCCGGTGTCATGTCCACAGGGAGAGTGAGCGGGTGAGAGCAGGATTAGGATACAGAAGTGTTCTCCACTTGGTCCTCTCAGAGTCCAGGGGCTGTGTCCCCAGGGGGAGGGGCTTCTCTGGCCCACCCTCAGAGTCCAGGTTTCTGCTCCTGAGACTTGGTGAGCAGGGCTGTCTCCAGAGTTGGTCATCCATGTGCAATCCCACGCACACCACCTTTCGTTTGGGAGATTTCTGCAGCCGATGCCGGTTTTCCAAGGAAAAGACATGAAGCTGTCACCAAAAAAAATGGAAATGGGGCATAAAGTGCTCTCAGGAGAACGAATGTCAGGATGCAAAGCACGCCTCTTAAAATGACACCAGGTCCACGTGCGTGGCCAGGCGTCGGGCCAGCCTGAAGATAGAGTCGCCCAGGCACTGATCATGTGTCAGGAGGCTGCAGGCCCCTAGGACCACTCCTCATGGCCAGCACGGTGCTGTGGGGTGGGCAGTGGCACGCAGGAACCCCAGGACAGCAGAAGGGGTATCCTGTCATTCTGTGCTGCCATGGTCCCTGCTGTATGAATGTCCATAATTTTTGCCACTGCTCGTATCTCTGAGGGTTCTTCCCAACCGAGTATCCCCAAATCCCACATTAGAAGTAGACAGAGGCAGACCCAGGGTGACTGGCTAGGGGCTGGCCGTGGGCCTGCCTCACAGGACATTTCTTACTGCAGGTCAGCCCCAGGACAACCCCTCCATGGATGACGACAGTGACAAGGACTCCGTGATGGACTTTGGCGCGCAGGTAGGCTGGTGTCCACTGCTCCCTAGACTACAAGGCCAGCCCAAGCCACCTGGGCCGAGAGCCCTGTCCTCTGCACGGGTGACCAGTGGCCAGGCACCTCCCTGCTGCCCACTGTCCACTTAACCTCATAGCCTCACAGAAGGGCATTCCTGATGGCCAGGTGGGTGCCGGGCAGGACTCTGTACAGAGACTTGCTTGGTCCCAGTCAGACTGGCTTGGGAAGGGTGAAGGGCCCGGTCCCAAAGGCCACAGGCCACTTGTTCTAACTCAAGAGGTCCTGAAAGGCTCCTGGTGGTACAGTGCGTGCATCCCACAAAGGGGGATTGGTCTGGACCTGCCAGGAGCAGCTCTCTGAAAGGAGGCGGTGGTCGTCTGCTTCCATGCAGACCTTACAACCTTGTACACCCTCCGTGGTGGGCGGGGGGGAGGCAGGGGGCACGGGGAAGGCTGTTGAGTGGGCATTGACTGGATGGCAGGAATCTGAAGCCATCCGTGCTCTCAGGAAGGAAAGGCTGGGCTGGGGGGAGGGGTTCTGTTCCTGTGTGGTTAGCGGACTGTAACAAAGTCCCGTGGGGATCTTCTCATCACTCTTGGACATGAGTCAGGGATGACGCTGGCCCCCGAGGCCACCCCACAATGCGGATGCTCAGGTGAGGGAGGTAGGTGAGCTTCTCTGAGAGGCCTGCGCTTGCTGTCTGCAGGAGGCCGCGTCCTGCCAGGACAGGAAGCCCCAGAACCCAGCTGAGGAGAACATGGATAACTATGTGAAGCTGCTGTCGCTGGGTAAGCTGTTTCTCATTCTCCAGAGCTTCCCAGTGGGCTGCTCCTGCTGGGGGGGTGTCACCGAGGGGCCTGAGGTCCCTGACAATGCCCTGGGAGATGGAGCTGCCCCCCAGGCTTCCAAGGCGGCAGTTTTCCCGCCACTGGGCAATGCAAGCACACACTGCTGGTCGAAGCCAGAATTGCCAAGCGTAGAGAAAAGTGGCTTCCAGAAAGGAGACAGAGGGAAGGCCTCCCAGGGAACTGGACGTGCACGGTGTCAGCGGGTCTGGCTGGCCTGTCCCTGTAACACACGCCATCTTTCCTGGGCAGGTCTTCAGCTTGCAGAGGGTAACAGGCAGTCCCACCTGACACAGGGACACTCGTCGAGGTCCCAGACAAGTGCCTACCCAAGTACAAGTCAAGGTGAGGACCCCATAGTGGGTCGTGGTGGCCGCCAGGTGCAATTGGGCTCTGCCCCTCGCAGAAGGGGTGCCCCTTCCAGCTTCCCGGCGCTCGCCACACTAGTGCCAGGGCGTGCTTTTATGGGTCTTTCCTTTCAGGCCAGGGAAGTATGCCTGAACCCGGAGAGGCAGCCTGCTGCCCGGGACCGTGCGAAGAAGAGTCCTCCCAAGAGGCGGGAAAGTTCGGCCCCTCGCAGTCGCCCAAAGCTCAGGATCTCAGCCACTGGCTGCAGTGGTTCCTCAAGATGCTGGACGACGACGATGACAGCAGCAGCAGCAGGACCAGGAGGAGGGATCTGATCCTTCAGGTGTGGGGCAGTGAGGGCTGCATGCTGGGGGGGGGGTGCTTTCAGCCTTCACTCCACCCTCATGTACCAAGAGAGTTGTTGGCAGGAAGAGGCTTTGTGAGCTGGACACAGACAGGAAGGGCTGTGATCAGAAAGCCTCTAGGAGAAAGCAGACCCCTGAAGGGAGTGAGATGCAGGGAGCCCCCAACCTCAGGAGCCTCAGCTCCCCAGGCCGGAGTCCTCAGCCGAGACCCAGGCTGATTTGCTGGCTGCCCCCCGTCAGGGCAGCGCTGGGAGTGAGAACCAGACTGCCCTCAGGGGAGGAGAGGGTCTCTGAGAGGGTCAGGATGAGAACTAGGACATGGGGACAGCTCGACCCTTAACGAGCTCCAGAAAATGGATGGTAAAGAGAGGTTCTATGCCTGCAAGCTGTCAGAACCTTCTTCCATAGCCATGGGAACTCTGAGGACGGCACAGACAGGCACCGGGAAGCCTGTGAACCCAGCTCGGTCTTGCACCAGCTAGAGAGAGAAAACAGGAGGGTAAGGGGGTGTGGGCAGACCGTCCTGCACAACCCTGCCCTCAGAGACCACCAGAAAATCCGTGTGAGACGAGGAAGCCTTTCCGAAAGCCACGGTAGAGCATGTCAGGAGACATTTGTTGCTGGCCAGTCTTGTAAAACCGGTGCGCAGGTCCACGTGAGAGAGCAGCTCGGTGGGTGTCAGGGTGGTGGAGGAGCCTTGACTCACAGCTCGGGCCTCGGTTCTGCAGAGAAGCTGTGTGGAGGCCAGGGCTGCCATGAGTCGGTCATTCGTAGTGTGTCCTTTTCCCAATCCCAGAAAAGTCACACCGTAGGGAGACCTCCTCCTGGCGGTGAGCAGGAGGCAGCACTTAGCGCTAGCGCCAACCCCAAGGACCCACCGGGCATGGCTGCTGCTAAGCAGCCTCGAGGAGACCCTGTGGCAGGTCGGTTATTCACCAATTGGCCTTTACTGACCCCCCCAGAGATGTGTCTTGGAGCCCAGGGAAGGGGCTGTGCCAACAGAGTCCGCGGCCATCCCGGGCACAGACAGCATGGAACGCCAGCCACCTTGGCGTGGAGCAAGCATGTCCTCGCTGCAGGCCCCTAGGCGATCAGTCATCCAGAGCAGGGCTGCCGCCGAGCCACCCCAACGCCCCTCCGGGAGCCAGCTGGCCCTTCCCAGCCCACAAAGCAGTGGGCAGCAGTCCACCTTCAGAGGACGCCCTTTCCAAGAGGCCACGAGCAGTCCCAAAGGCATCCTCCACAGCATTGCCACCGGCAAACCTTGGTACAGCCTGCCGGCCGGAGCGCCCACCACAAGCAGCGCACCCACCACAGGCAGCGCACCCACGAGGAAGGCCCAGGGCTCAGCCACCCGAGCCCACACCCAGGGGCACCAGAAGGCACGAGCCAAGAGGAAGCACCCGGAGTGCAGAGAGGCCGAGGCCCCGGGGCTCCAGCAACCACGTTTCAGCGATGCGTGGAACAGTTACCCCCGAGAGCAGCCCTACCAGTGCCCAGAGTGTGGGCAGGCCTTCATCCACAGCGCTGACCTCGCCACCCACTGGCAGAACCATAGCCGCCAGCATTCGGTCATCCGCAACCTGGACCAGGGCGCCCAGAGCAACCAGGCCGCCAGGGAGCGTGGCCGCCCTGCCACTGAAGCCTTCGCCCACCACTCGGCTGCCCACCACTCGGCCGTGTCCAGCTGGGACCCACTCCGCAGCCAATGGGCGCTCGGCAGCCCCGCTGTCCCGCAGGTGTCCATCAACGAGCAGCTCGCAGAGGGCGCTGCCTACACTGGGTACGTGCTCGGAGACCATCAGGAGGTCCACGGCCGTGACTACCTCCTGGACAACGGTGCCTGCGCCCCCTCGAGCAGCCAGACCCGCTCCTTCCGCGAGGCCCCACCAAGAGGCAACGGTGAAGCCTTCAGCAGCAGCGGCTACTTCTTGGAGCCCCCGAAGCAGCACCGGCAGGAGCCCACCTTCCCAGGCGGAATGGCCATGGCGGGCGGACCCGCCTTCCAGGGAGGGATGTCCACCGGGGCGACTGCTGGCCTGGGTCCCGACCCCCAGCCCAAGAGATGGTGCGTCGGCCCGACAGACAGAGTGTCCCCCGCACCCCACTGCAGGGTGTGCGGCCAGGATTTCATGCACGAAGAGGCCCTGAGCGCGCACTTGGAGGTCCACACCACCGAGGGCTGCGCGCTGGCCGCCCTGGGCCTGGCCCTCACGCAGCTGCAGCACAGCCAGTCGTCCGAGGAGTGCAGTGTCCAGTGCCCGCCCTGCGCCCCGTGCGCCCCTTGCATCCCTTGCGCCCCCTGCATCCCCTGCGCCCCGTGCGCCCCATGTGCCCCGTGTGATGAGGTCTTCCTCTGCGAGCCCGAGGTCCACGATCAGGCCTGGGGCCAGGGCCGAGGCCGTGGCCACCTTCACAGTCGTGGCCGCGGTCGCAGTCGCGGTCGCGGTCGTGGTCGCGGTGCACCGCCACCCTACGCCTACGGGGGTGCCTTCATGCACAACGCCTTCCCCCGGCCAGGGCCGCACTCCCGCTTCTTCGAGTGCTCGGACTGCGGCCAGTCCTTCGGCCACAGCAGCGCCCTGCTCACACACCAGCAGCTGCACCGCGAGCAGGCCGCCGGGGTCAGCGGAGCGCCCACCGCCCCGGCCACGCTGTGGTTCCCCGGCCCCTGCGTGCAGCCCACTGCCATCCCCGCAGCCGCAGCCGCAGCCGCAGCCGCAGCCGCAGCCGCTGCCCCGGAAGCACAGGCCGCCCCACCGGAAGCACGGGCCGACCCGCCGGAAGTGCACCTCGGAGGGCGGGAGGAAGAGGTCGTCGAGCCGGAAGTGCAGGTGGAAGGGCGGGAGGAAGTGGTGGTGGACTTGCACATGGAGGCGGAGGACGCGGAGCCGGACAGCGCGGGCCTGGAAGAGCCAGACAGCAGCGTGGGGGACCCCGATGAGGCCGACGAGCCGGACAGCACGGGCCTCGAGGACTCCGAGGAGGAGGAGGAGGAGGAGGAGGAAGAGAGGCCGATCCCTGCCAGGATGCACTTCGGCGAGGATGTCGGTGACAGCCTGGTGTCCAGCGCCACCCATCCCCGCGTGATCGTCATGGAGGTGCCCAGTGTCCCGGCAGTGTGGCCCGCGGAGCACCTGGCCTCTAGTGCGGCTGCCACCATTGCCGTCGCTGACAGCAGTGTCGGCCCTGCAGAGGGGCTCTTCCCGTGTCTCTTCTGTCCACTGATCTTCGCTGACCCCCTGGACCTCATCCTGCACCAGGGCGATCACAACCTCTGAGGCCTCCAGGCGCTCGGGGCGGCATTGCAGGGGCGCCTCCCCGTGCCCGGAGCCGGCTGCAGTGCGGTGCAGCACTGACATCGGCCCCCACTGGACCTCAAGGAACCCCCTCGGACTTCAAGGACCCCCCTCGAATATCAGGAACCCTTCCTCACATCTTTGGGGGGGGCCCTTGGACCTCAGGAACCACCATCAGACCTCAGGGACCCTCCCTCGGACCTTGGTGGGAGCGCCTTGGACCTCAGAAACCGCCATCGGGCCTCAGGAACCCCAGCTCGGACCTCAAGGTCCACCCCTCGGACTTAAAGGACCCCCAATGGACCTCAGGGGGACCCCTCGGACATCAGGGACGCGCATCGGACCTCGGGGACCCCCCCCCAACTTCAGGGACTTCCCTCCTACCTCAGGGGATTGCCCCCCACGACCTCAGGGACCTTTCCTCAGACATCAGGGAGCCCCAGGGAAGCCCTGCACACTGCCCGACCCTCGTCCCAGTGCTGCTGTGGGGAGGTGCCCACCAAGTGTCCAAGGCACCAGTCAGCTGCAAAGGATGCTCCTGGCCCTGCCTGCCAAGTGTCCGGAAGGAAGGACACTGATTTGGGAGATCTGCCGCTCAAGGCAGCAGCACGTGGCCCTGGGCGTTGGCCGGGGACGGCCAGGCCTCCTCGCTGTCCGTTTCCAGCTGCTGACCCCCTGACCGGCTTCGCTGTCCTCCTGAGCAACCCTGCGGAGGCGGCCCACTCGCACTGACCGGCCCACGCCCCACCGCTTGGAGGTGGATCCTCACTGTCCCATCCGACCAGACGCCGCTCTGTGCCTTTTGGGGGTTCTCGGACGAAAAAAAGGAATCAGAGGAAGAAAGAAGCTGATTTACTTTTTAAAAAATTTTTACAAGCCCAACACAAGTAGGTAGTGAAGTGTGGAATTCCCAAACGCTGAAGATCTGCCCCCTAAACCTTGACCTCTTTGCCTCTGAAGTGGTGGGTTGCGACCCTTCCCAGAATGAGGCTGTGTCTAACGGAGCTTGAGAAAATCCGGGGAGAGACCCTCCCGCTGGACAGAGACCCGGGCGGGAAAGGAGCTCCCCATGGACATGGAGACGGGGTGGGAAAGGAGCTCCCGCTGGACCCAGACCCGGGCGGGAAAGGAGCTCCCCATGGACATGGAGACGGGGTGGGAAAGGAGCTCCCGCTGGACCCAGACCCGGGCGGGAAAGGAGCTCCCCCTGGACACAGACAGGGTGGGGGGGTAGACACTCCCACTTGTGCATAGAGACCCAGAGGGGGAGAGACCCTCCTGCTGGACATAAGGACCTGGGTGGGTAAAGGTGCTCCTGCTGTACATGGGGTGTGCTCCCACTGTACATAGAGGGGGGCACTGCCGTTTTACCTAGGACCCTGGTAGGGAGAGACTCCTGCTTGTACATAGGGACCTAGGTGGGGAACAGAGACCGAGGTGGGGAGGAGGTGCACCTGCAGATGGGTTGATGGGCCGTGACTGCCTCGAATGCGCTTTCCTGCCTTAAGTGAGAAGAAAGCACGCAGCTTGGGGGGCCTGTGCACCCACAGGTGTGTGAGTCTGCACCTTGACTTCCCAGGAGCTCCTATCTCTAGAGCTTTCTGTCACTAACCTGGATTCTCTCTTTACCTCCTACCTGACACTTTTGACCTCAGGTTTCTGATTTTTCTTAGCAGAAAAGGTTTTTTTACAAAACATCCCACTTTCTTTACTTTGAACCCAAGCTTACTGTGGACTCAGGTTTCCCAGTGGCCTTAAACCTCTTGGTTAAAGGTCCGTTTCCAACAGCCCCCACCCCTGAGTATTTCTCAGCTGCCCTTTGTACTCACTTCTCTCTCTCTCGTTTCCCCCTTTATCACAAGGTTACCTCTTTGCTTAAAGTCTGTGTCCTCATTGATGAGTCGATGAGTCTCATCTTCTGCTTCCCCCCAGCACCACCCCCAAATCATTAATTTCTTAAACAATGTTGAGGCCTTGAGTTGGCTGGGGGGTAGGGTGGGGTGGTGGGAGGAAAGTTAAAAAACTTTAAAAAAAAATTATAAAAACATGGATTGCTAGATGAAGCTAGCAAAAGAGGAGAGAGAGAAAGAAAAAATCTCTCTCGAGCAGCATAATTCAAGTCCTTGCCCTTCTAGGGGTGTACGGTGAGGGCTTGCAAGGAGTGTTTGCAGGGCAGCAGGGAATGACAAGGCCCAGGAAAGTTCTAAGGACTCCAAGCAAGAAGCACAAGTGAGCTGAGTAATCCAAAGAAAGGGGCCTGGCTGGTCGGCAAAACCTGAGAAGGGAAAAGCAGAAACAGGGATTGGAAAGGCCGTGCAGTGAGAAGAACAGGCCTTTTTTGGCGATGTGCTGTCCACGAAGGCCAGCTGCCCTTAAGATTCCTGGGTGGATGAGATTAAGCAGGTCGGTGTCCTGTACTAGAGAAAGCCTCTTTTTCAGAGAGCAACTTGCCCAATTTTAAGGGATCTGTTTGCAACTTTTTAAGTGGGTGAGAATTGAGGAAAGATTGAAATGCCACATGAGAAAGGCGTGATTAAGTGTCTCTGAAACTCGCCCTCTGTGGATTCTTAAGCATATGTTGAAAGATAGCCATGAATTATGAAAACACTGGGGAAACATTTACAGAATATTAAGTGGAAGAAGCAGGACATGAAATTATACTAGAATTACAACTTTAAAAATATATGTGTTATAGTCAAGAGCCATGTCTTTTATTATAGTAGAGACTTCTAGGTGAACATTCTCTTAAATTCCTTCAGTGTTCTTTATTGCAGTGTGACAGAAAAATTTTCTAACCAGTCATGTTTGCATTGACGATATAATTTTAATTCACTCGCAAACATTTGGAAAATCCAGAAAAGTGGAGGGGTCGGGGGGAAGTTATCTTTGTTCCCATCATCTAAACATAGATAATAGCCTTCAGTATCTTGATTTTGATCCCCCCCCCCCGTGTACAAGTTTATAACTGTCAAAAATACATCTTCAAAAATAGTTCTTTCACTTTTTAAAATTATGGCTAATTATGTTATCTTTATTTGTTCATATATTCCTAACTGCAGAGTTCTGATCGTAAAACTTATGTATGTTTCTGTTACAAATTTAATACATACTTGGGGGGTGGGGGAATGAGAAAGAATAGTACATTAAAAAAACAAAAACAAAAAAAAAACAAAAAAGAGAAAAACCAACCCAAAAAAACAGCTTTTCTATATTCCCAAAGCCCAACAACTACTGTTACCATCTAGATCTGATTCCTTCAGCTTGTTTGGCCACACGCTGGGCTGTGGTCATTACTCTGTGTGTGAAGTGTGGAGAGGAAAGTATAGGAAGAACTCTAGAAAACCCGGGTTTTAAAAAAAGAGTTGTGTAGTAGTTGTGGGATTTGAGGGTAAATATCTCGTGTCCTTCCTTTAAGCGATCTTTGGTGTTTTGGGTGACCCAGCCTTGTTAGCAGTATTTTCAGAGCAAACAGGCAAGACACGTTCAGTCTAGAAATCTCGACGCCACAGAAATGTATTAGAGAAACGTGCCTATTGTTTTTCCATCAATCGACTGTGGGTCACCTCTCGGGATATATATATATATTTTGTGGGTTTATTTGTTTCTTACTCTGGTTGTGGTCCTTCTGTCTCTATCTATAATTATGCCAACAATAAAAGCGAAGTTAAAAATAACAGGTGTCTGTCTCGACTTTACACCCGCCCCCCATATTGAGTGTTTGGGGTGGTTAAAGATTCCAGTTGTTAAAGTTACTGATCCAAAATCTTGATGTCACCCTCTGGCTTTAACGTGTGGTTGTCTAGTTTGAGCAATTCCTTTTATAAGACCTTCAACTATTACTTGAGCCTACTTTTTAAGTGAAGTTATTTATTTTTTTAATTTTATTATTATCAAGTAAAACTGGACTCCATGAAGGGTAACAATTACACGTAATCTCCGTTAATCAAGTCTCTCAGTCTCTCTCTCTCTCTCTATATATATATATGTGTGTGTGTGTGCTTGTGTATTACATATATATTCCAGTATATATTAATATACATATTCCTGTGTATATATAGAGTCACTGTTGCACATTTTCTTCTTTCTTCCAGTCCACCGCATTGCTTCCCTTGCTCCAGACGGCCATTATACCTATAATGCCTAATCATAAATTCCTTTCAAACAGTTCCTCATGTATCTCAATGCAGTGTTCATTACCTATCCACTCTTTATTCTCTCCCCAATCCCCCCATGTCTGTCCTGTAAGTCTGTATATATTTTTTTAAAACTGGAATTCTTTCAAACACAGTGGGAGGGGGAAGAATCAAGATAAATGTACAGTTTAGAATCTTTCCTAAATGGCTACTCTTAAATCTTGCCCAAGGGAACATTTTCAACACGGTTTTGCTCCTAGGAACGCCATGGGTTTTGCCACTAGAAACTTCCTCCTGGGTGATTGAGGAGTAACTTTTAAACTTATCTGTGATTCCATAGCAGGGCAGATGTTAGACCACAGGTGAGCAGTCTGCGCCTACCAGTCACCAGAAGAAGGCGAGGTACTCTCCCGTTAAGATGCATAGGTGAGAATCCCAAGAGTGGGCTGTGAGTCTCCATCACCTCGCAGCAGTGGGTGTGGGCCTTTTGAGTTTATGACTGCACAGTGACGGGAGGTGCTCCCTGGACCCCTGTTGACAACTAAAGTGGTGGGTTGCCGGGTCCCCATCCACTTTGACCCTTTGTAACGCCAGCCCGCCAGCCCTCTCACGATGAAGCCCAATACCTACTCCAATTCTGGAGCCAGTGTTTTGCAATGGCCACACAGAACTCACACTCTGAGTAGGGGGTTCAGTAGGGAAGTAACGTGGTGCTTTTACTGTCGCCCAATCAGAAGCCATGCTGCCATGGCGAGGTGATGTGGAGGACTGAATGCAGGTGAATGTCTGTGTGGGGGTCTGTCCTGTTTGCTTCTGTTCTGTGAAGTCGGACAGGCAAACACCAGGGCT